AGAAATTACTAGTTGTCCTTTTGCGGTTAGTTCGTATTGACTATTGGTTATTTGACGAATTATAAAATAATAAGGAAATGAAATAATGCAACGTATCATAACATAAATAAATCCTTTCAATAAAATAGTTTTACCACTATTTAGCCTATTTATGACCGCCACGCCGGACCATCTCCTTCCTTTATAATGCAGCGGTCAACTATTAAATATTCAATATAAATAAATCCATTCTTATTTTTTGGGTAATTGTAATAAACAAGGACAAGGAAAATAAAAAGTTTCGTAAATTTAAATAGTTTTTTAAGCCAACTGGTTTACGAATTGCAATAAGGTGCATCATGGCTATTAATGGATTTTTATGTTGTTATAGAGAAACTTTCAGATAATTATCTATGCAATCAATAAAAAGGTGTACTTTTTGAGTAGTTCGAAAGTTAAGTTTCTTTTTCTTTATTACTTTTTCTGAAATTTTAGGCGGAAATGGAAACACTCATGGTTTTTTTTTATACAATCCTTTATTTTATACTATTTCTGTATTATTTTGTGCTGCAGCTCATATTCTGTTTCCTTTTTATCTTATTATTATCCATAATCATCTATCGTTTGATATGGGATGTAAGAGGCAGCCAGCGGTGACCAGGGTAGCCCCCGATAGCAGATAATTAATTCCGCCATTTAATCTGTTATGAATCCATCGATCGGTGAGGACCAATCAGAGCAGAGCTTAGTTAATAAACCTGGCCCGCCCATTATTCCATCTGATTATCTGTTATGCTCAGAGATCCCTCTTCTCTCATTATCTCTACTGTGTCCCCGTCTGTCTGTAGTTAACACACTTGCCACCATAATCGATAATATATACATCTCTGTTATATCTGTAGTGGAAGATCTACCCATAATCCAAGCATAAAAGTTCTAGTATACTTCAGCGACGCTTCTCGCGTTAAGGAACTATCCTTCTGCTTAAAGCATTCAATGTCACAAGCGACGTCAGCGAAATATATTTTATTCGTATATACAATAGAATATTATCAAAATAATCTATTCAACAACAATAGTTGGCGATGCTTCATATTTCATCATTGATGTTAAAGTAATAATTCACTGTCGAATAACTTATACCAATCCATTATTGTACTCACTAATGACGTATTTGTTTGGTCCAGAAGAATCTTTGTTTTTAGTTCTCTCAATTGTTTTTTAAAAATATCAAAAAGTTACTTTCTATATTAACAGTTTCATCAACTTTTAAAACCATCTGAGATTTGATACCTTCCAATTTTTTTAATGACGTATCGTAGTTGTAGTAAAGTTTTGAATGAAAATTTATTTCGTTTGACACATCATCATAATCCATCACTCTTGAGATTATGGATAAGGTATTCACACTACCGTATTTCATATTTTAGATTTTACATTTTTTTATTTATCTGTTGTTGAGAATAATCTTATCCAAACCGTTGCCCTAGAAACATTACCCCTTTACATTGTAAAGAATCCTAGATCCTCCTTGGCTAATAACTACAGTTGTTAGACTTGAAAATCATCTTTAAGGTGCTCATAAAAACATCTATGAAGGAGTAGGTTTAAAGCCCTAATTGAAGTTACAAAATTTATGTATTAATAAAATAAAAAGGTTTGATCTGGTGGATTTTAATAGGTATGACATCAACAGTCCATACATATATTCATTTATTCAAAACCCAAATACTTTAAATTGAATCTAACTAAATCTTCTTGTAAGTTTTGGTCGACTCTTTGAGGTTTACTTTCGGTTTAATGCTCGTAACCGGTTAAGAGATTCGTTTGTAGTCCGTATTTACAACATTTAATGCAATTTGCAGTTGTGCAGACGTATTTATTCTTTGTGTAATTTTGGATAATATCCTTGTTCTTCCCTTAAATTGAATATTCACATTGCGTCAAGAACTGTGATAAGTATCAAACTTTTATGGGTGAGAAATATTCAGGACGCAGTCATAATAAAGTTTTTATTGGTGACGACGTTTTAACTTGTGGGTCATCAGGGCGTGTTTCGAGCACTGAGGGTGTTCAAGTACTGGACTTAAATACCTTACAAGGCAGTACTTGAATACTTTCGTTGCTCGAAACACGCCCAGAAGATGACCGACATATTTGGATTGAAAAGTCGGTACCTATAAAAACTTCATAGTGCCTGCGTCCTGAATATTTATCACCCATGATATGTAGAATAGTCGACCAAGTTCCTTCAATATGATTTCAGGACATTATTTTCGAATTCATCACTAGCCTTAACTTCTATATTTTTAAGTTGCTTTAACAAATCATAATCATCGACCATTTCAAGCAATTTTTTTTGTTTTTTTTATCTCAAACAGCCCTTAACACATTGAATCCTTGCTCCTTTTCAAATATTAGACTAGAAATCTTGTTCAATTCACAGATGCTTCTGTAATTGACGTTGTAAAATAATTAGCTGTGATTGTTGAGTGGCAGAAGTGTCATTTATCGTCCCGCCTTTTGATGTGGTGTATACAGAGGCCTCGCCAATAAAGATAACACTATTTGCCATCTGTATCTTCGTGTTGGCTCCTTGTTTGTCAAAGCTATTCCCTATTGTTTTTTAGTTAATACTCTATCTGCTTCTGTTTTGGAATAATTAATTGATTGAACTAAATTTTCCCTGTTCTTAATTTGTATATGATTTTCTTTCTGGATTTTTTTTCAAGATATGTGCAAAGAATATTTATTTTTATGAGACATTACTTGACAACTGTTGTCGTATATAATGGATTTTGTACATTTCGAACAAGGCTATGTAAATGTTTGTTTACTTACAGCAGGCACTCGGTAGCTATAATTACCTATCCAGTTTTTTCTTACTAATCTCCCTTCTGTATTCATTACTTCTAGTGAGAAAAAGAAGATCTAATTTAGTTCTTGCCTGGTGTAGGCGATACATAATTACCATCCTTAATGCATAATAAGGGTCGATTAGGGGCTACTAAACGCATCTTCAATGTACTCCCACCATGTTCGCTTTTCCGATATGTCTCAATTTTCTCGAGATACACTCTTAAGGAGTTATACCTTATAGGAAATCTCTAATGTCGTATGACTTATATGTAAAGGCCGAGGGAGTGAGACTGAGAAAGCTCATCAACGTTTTTTATTTTTATTTTTACATTTTGATCTGAAGGCGAAGGGCGTCCATTAATGACCTCACTCAGACAGACCCGGGCGGAGCGGTACAGTCGCTGCAACACTTAATTCGTCTCAGACCATTAACTCTTTTTTTTTTAAGTTTATTTATTCTTTTTTTTTCAATCTTAATAATCTAAGAAAATCTACTGTTGGTTATTTTGTTTTTTAAATCTAATTTCGAGCATGCGTTCTTATAACTGAGAAATTGTTCTTATCCTTATTTAATCCATTTTTAGTTATTTATTTTCTGAACTCTTCAACAGCAATTAGGGAATTCGTTTGTGATCTCGCCTCATGATTAGAACGCAATATTTCCTGCAAAATATTAACCCATGTTAATTTACATAATTACTTATAATTATTTTACATCGAAGAAATGTACTAATAATAAAACGAAGAAATATTTTATAATAATGAAATACCTTAATTAAGTCGATATTAATAAAGGTCACTTATTATGTTATGGGTGGATATAATTTAACCAAAGGATTTCTAAAGTAATTTTTAATCAATTTATTTTTAGTCCAACAAAATATTTTCATATATTAGAAATATTGGTATGTGTGATTATTTCCCTGTTTTAAAATTTGTATCCTTTATTAACCTGTAAAAAAACAACGACAAAATCAAAACAACAATTTCAACTGAATATTTCGCTAAGCTAATATATTTTTATTATTATTTCATTTTTTTTATCTTTTCATTTATTCTAATTTCTGAGTTTTTATTTTTACTATCATGAATGAATTTTTACTTGAATGTCCGTCGGTGAAAGTTGTTGATACAATTATTTATTTTTCTTTCCCTTCTTAACGATGATGTGTTTAAATAAGATTGAGTGTGATCTTGAATATAAATAGTTAACCGAATTCTATATTCATCTTCTGTTATAATGGTAAAAAGGATAAACTAAGTAATATTAAAGAAACATTTTTTTCATATATATCACGTATGATGTTTTAAGATTGATTTTTTTGTTTAAAAAAATCCTATTTTGAATGGTTATTTATAAAATTTTGAAATATTAACTTGTTATTATTATTTGTTCATATGTGCTCTGTGCTCTAGCAGTGCAATAGTGTCTATAGCAATCTGAATTCATTATAAAAATATTTTAAAATTCAGCCAACAGAATTGCGATTTTGTTCCCTAATATGTTCGAAAACAAACCTATTGAACCAGTTTAAAAAACAAATGGTCTCATGTGCGGTTAAGAATATAATGACCATTTGTTCTTCGTTTGTTTCTATTAAATAAACTCTTTGTATTAAATTTAATTTGTATATGTTTTATGGTGCTTTGCTGTATTCGTTTTATTTTAAACGTTATGAATTCTAATTTACCCTTTATAGAAATAAAGTTATTTATTGCTTAACATCAACGTTAAGTTTGTCTTGTTCCACAACGTAGCATTTTATTTGTATAGATAATTGTACTTCTCGACGTGACGAGATCTGATGGAAGTTAATTATACAGATCTAGTACACTTGTAAAATATCAGTCAATATGTTCATGTTTATTAAAAATTAAATGTATGAATAATAATAATAATAACAATAATACCGGTGCTGTCAAAATAAAATAAAATAATATATTGGGATCGATCTATAATTACAGACCACAAATTACACACACAGTAAATAACAAACCGGATATTGTATTAATTGATCGGAAGAAACATAGTGAGTATGTCATTGATATAGCGGTCCTAATCGATGATAATATCGGAAAGAATATTTCTGAAAAGATTAGGAAATATCAAGACTTGTGCCAAGAGCTTCGGCAACTTAACAAACTGAATCAAGTCCAGGCATATGGAAATTGTAATTTCCAGCAATGGCCTCATCCCTGACGATACCATTCGCTCTGTCGAAAATTTGAAACTGCCTGAGAAAGTTTTGGAAGAAGGGCAAAAAGCAGTTCTCCTAGACACAGCGAACATCGTCAGGAAGTTCTTAAGCATAGTTTAACTTTTGAGCCTATCCCTTGACCTTGGTCCGAGTATGTGAATATTTCTGACAAAAGCCAAGAAAGTGTGAAATTGGAAAAAAAATAATAATAATAGTAACAAAACAGAGGAGTGAATTGCATAAGATGTTCCCTTGGAGATCACCTGCTAAGAGATAAATCAGGCTGCGTTGGTGAAACCTGTCATTATCGGCTGCCTCTACTCTTCCTTACTTATTAGTCACTCTCCTTCCCATGTATCATCTGTTACTCCGTTACTAGTAACAGTTCCGTTATGTATCTGTCTACTAGTAGCCTAATCGTCCCGAACATTTATAGTATTATCATATGATAATAAAGGAGTCAGGAAAATAGGTTTAAAAAATCTCGTCTTTGTTCATCAAGGTTATTTATAAACTGTATTAGACTTCGTAATAAAATGGCATCGAACGTAAGAAAAAGTGATTGGAAAACAGATATTTTTTTCTGTAGGTGCTTAACAGTCCTCTTAATCAAACAAAAATAAATTTGTTGAAGTATTGAGACTATACTTTTTTCAAGAGTTTTTCTCAAAATATTCTCATACAAAAACGACAAAAATTGCTTACTTGTTAGGTTTAGGTTACTAAAGGCTTTCCCCTGACTGCTAGTGCCGGGTCACTGCTGAGGACCCCGGCAACCCGTCGTCACAAATATGTCAGGATGTCACACGTTTCAGTAACCCAGGCTCCCAAGTAATTGCCGGGCATTAAAAAGTGTGGATGTGGCTGTTATGGCAAGCGATCCGTCTCCTCCATGCTTACACACATCTCTAGGTCCCCTAGAGGGGATAAGGCGTTTTAAACATTCCTCGGCAATTTCTCATTCTCGGCACGGGTCGTTTCCTCCGGACCTCGATGTCGAATGGATCCGAATGGTAAGGTCCTTTCGTCATAGCCATTTCCTGTATGAAGTCGTTGTGGTTACTTCTAAGTGTAGTTAGTGATCGATTGCCATGAGGCATCGGCTATATTTAAAACATTATATAGATTATATTTTATGTATATAATCACAGTATACAGGATAAGGATTGACAGTCCTGGTAAATAATTGGAATAGTCTTACTCCTCTGGCACTTTGGTGGTATACAAGTGGAATTTAAATACATTAAATAAAAAATTGTTAATATAATATGGAAATTGGTAAATGTAATAAGTTTGTTGGTGATGTTTGAAACTTTTGAAATCTTTATAAATTATTTCTCAAAGATTATGTTTTATTTTCGGTACGCCATATCTTCATGCAATCGAATAATCGAGCTCAGATGGAAAAAAATTCATAATAAAAAAATCATCTAATTCAAACCACTATTAGCTGAGGTACAGATTATTATAATTCTTAAACATTTTGGTTAAAAACATGAATGAAGTTTTATACTAATTTTCTTTTCCTTGGTCGATTACTATTACCCAAAAAAATAGGAAATGATTCCTTCACCTTATGATAGGGTTGAATAATTTAATTCCCTTATTACTAGTTGTGTTTTAATTTTTTTGTTATTTTTTTAATAAACGAATAAGCCCTATCTGGACTACTCTAAGTACTCTGATGCGTTTTCTAATCTTTCGCTGTGTGCTCGTCGTATTTTCTCTTCTATCCATGTTTTCCCGGTTCCGCTCTTCGGCACTAATTCCAGATCAGTTTGTCAAATGTGAACTTTAGGTCTAAAGGAATTTCAGTTTTGAATGTTCTCTTGCATAACAACTGATGATTTTAATTTCCCTAATTCATTTTATAGTGTCAATTGACATTATACTCCTTTGCCAAAAACCATTTTTCATTATTTTTATCATATTTGTTGTACACCTTACCATACAATAAACCGAGAAAATGCTTCAGGAGTCTAATAGAAATAATATTAAATAATTATGTCTACGTTTCGACCACGCTCTTGGTCTTTTCATCAGGGATGAAATCTGCAGTCAAATGGATCAATATTTTTATTTCAATCGGTAAGGTTGATTATTGAAAATAATAAACTAAAAAACGTATAATATAGTCTGTATCTTTTATAATAATGTTCAGAACCTCTCTCCGTTTTGTATGGGATTTAATTTCCTTTGAAGTGCATTTGTGTTTAATCCAACATATTTTATTTACTTTATGAGTTGTGCTCCAATGAGGTTTTACTTATTTTTGCTATCTCTTTTCCCTTCTTTTTCTAGATATATGTTTCTTATTCTCGGTGAATTTAATCTTCGAAATTGTGGTTCCAACAGTGGTGTATTGATATAATTAATGGAGACTTGCGTACCAACAAAAAATAACATAATAATATTTACAAAATTGGTAATTGGTTGACTCGTGGATAATGAAGAGAAGAATAGTTGGGGTGCTCAGTCAAAAAGGAAGGCAAAAAATAAATTATAATATTTATTTTTTACATATGCCGACGTTTCGACCTGAAGTTCAGGCCTTCATCAGGGCTAAGAAAATAACCAGATAACAAGGTATGAGAAACATAAGTAATGATGGTAAAAAAGATAATAAAAAATGAGAAAATAAAAAAAAAATAAAATTATTAGAAAAATAAAATAGATAGATATAAAGTAAAATGAAATTGTTAGAATAATAACTAAGAACTAAGAGATAAATAATAAAAACTGTTACATAGTGTGGAATGATGAAGTAGGCATAATCAAAAAGGGGTGACAAAAGTGTTACATTGGGAATCTTAGAATAAAATGTAAAAACATAAAAAAGAAATATAAAGTTATATAAGAAATGAAAATAAAATAAATAATAAAATTAAAACATTGAGAATGGAATAGTTAGATAGAAAATTGAGATATTGTAAAGTCTATCAAATGTAAATTTTATTTTCTCATTTTTTATTATCTTTTTTACCATCATTACTTATGTTTCTCATACCTTGTTATCTGGTTATTTTCTTAGCCCTGATGAAGGCCTGAACTTCAGGTCGAAACGTCGGCATATGTAAAAAATAAATATTATAATTTATTTTTTGCCTTCCTTTTTGACTGAGCACCCCAACTATTCTTCTCTTCATTAATAATATTAACGTTTTTCTGTAGATAATCCTCTCAGAAAACGAGCTGACATTTAAATTGAGGTAAAATTAAAAGGATAGGCAGGAGTTCTCAATATCATGCTTTTCACTTCTGACGGAGATCAGGTGACTTCCCCGCCATGTATCATTAATTATGAGGATAAGTGTAATTTCATTTTTTATTTCAATTTTGTTTTTTATTTACATTTTTTCGTCTTAGTTTGCTTCAACTTTGGGAAAATGATTATAGCTGTTTCATTATTTTATTTAAGTTAGTATGTTACATGTTTGTGTTAAAAAGTATATTTGTTTAATATATTTTTATTTCTGGTAATTATTCTTATTTAACCCGCCCTGATACTCTGTTCAATCAATGAGTATTCTCCTTATGTATATGTTTATCCTTGCACATGTTTCATGCTAGTATTTATTTCAAATCGTATAGAATTATTGGGGCCGATGAATTTTATATGTATGAGCTTAGCTTAATATTCCTCTGGAGGTACTTTAGTGTCTTTCCTGTCAAATTTATTCCTTCCGAGTCCCTCCAGGGCGTGGGAACGCAGTTTGTTCATTCTTTATCTACGTATTTCCCGCTCTCGGGGACAAATGTAGAATTTGCTACCGGATCCCGTCCGCTGGTCGGTGTTAGTTCCGGTTGTAAAGGTGCACAAGGTGGTAGATTACCGAATTGCGTGGAATCGGTTTATTTATTTTTTAGGGAAGTTTATTGTGTGCCCTGTAAATAGAACACATCCAGGAAATACCCGGGTTTGTTTGCCCGCTTTATCAACTCCACGGCAAACCAAATAATGAGTCCCCGCAGTCGGATCATTCGTCCTCCAGGAAATTCTATTTTTTTTTATATATAATTTTTCATATTCTTCCTTATCCTTGTTAATAAAATATATCAGATTAATATTTTTAAAAAAATAGTGCTAGTGGAGAAATTTATTATTAATTTTAATCTACTATATATAATATCCTGTTTCTTAGTTTTGACATTCATTTTGTATCTGGGGTGTCAATAATTATGTCTTATGTTAACATAGTCAGGACGCTGTCAATTTCCAAGTTTTTATTGCCAGTTTTTCAACCGAAGCTTGTGTGTGGGTCATCATCAGGGCATGTTTTCAGCCAAGTACTGTGAAAGTACTTGAACATGTTTGGTTCTGGAAACATGATGATGTGGTGATGAACTACAAGCCTGTTTTGAAAAGCTTGGTATAAAAAACTTGAAAATTGACTGCTTCCTCACTATGTATGACCAGAATAGTGTGTACAAACTTCCATCTATAGTTCATTTTCTATCATGTTTATTTAGCCCTAATGAACAGTCATAAAGCAGTTACTTGACCTAGGCATGCAGTAAACGCGATACTTTGTTGACTTAATATTTTATTATTTTCTTCAGTCCTGATGACGCTTTGATATATGCGTAAGAAATAAATAATTAATAATGTTAGGTTGAAAGGAACGCGGGTTTATCCTAAAATTTTAGTCAGAGAAGAGATGGTCGAGGGTGGTTGTCATATAAAAAAAATTAAAGTATTGGAAACTATTTTATTAAGCTGACGTTTTGACTGAACTATGCAGGTCTACATAAAAGTTCTGGACGACATGGAAATGAGTGAATGCCGGTAATCCACAGAACGCCATCCCGACTTGCATAGTTGAGTTGAAACCACCATTGTATCCAGGATTTAATTTGTATGGGGAGGAGAAGTAGGCTTCACTCCGAAAGCTTTTTTTTTCATTTTATTTTTATTATATCGATAATTACTTTGGAAAAAAAAGAAACTAACTACCTATATAAAATGGTGTTTAAATGATTATTTAATGTTTAAGTCCTTTTAGATGTAATTACAATAATACTTAAAGAGATATTTTGTTCCATGAAACATGCTTATATTTTACCATTTGGGAGGGGAGAGCGTTCAACTCGAAAGTCTCTCCCGTAGATCGGCCTGTTGTCGAAACGCTGCATAATAAAATTTCCCACTATTTTAATTTTATTTTTTATGATAACCTCCCCGGACCATCTCTTGCCTGAATATAATACGGCCAACTTAGTAATGCTCTTCATACTTGAAGTGATTGAAATGAAGGGAGCTAAAATATTGTATATTGAGATCGTTCTCCCAGAGTACTTTCCCATTGTGCACTATGCTAAGGTATAATATAGCATGACCATAAAGTGTGGTAACATGATAATCAGCGAGGAGACAGAACCACAAGGGTATAGATAATACCGCATCATAAATTACAGTATTGGAAGCCCGACACTGGAGAGCTGGAGCTGGAGCTGACAAATCCGCGAGGTTTTGGAAGGCAGGTAGTCGCGACCGACCCCAAGCTACTACCTGGACGGCACACCTTTGACGCTAATCCATCCGAGCCCGATGTTTTCCGATCAGGAACCTATCTCTCTTTCTATCTGCTTATTTATATATATTGCCTCTTTGGCGGATCTCATTCCAGGCTACAATACTTGAAACATTAAACGCCCCGGTGAATGCCTCTTCAGTTCAATCCTGCAATTACCTACTCACTTATTCACGCTTCGGCCTTAGCCGCTCCGCTTCAGGCTACGGAGCGAGGAAGAAAGACAAGACTGAAGAATCGGTGCGAAAGTTTGCATAGCAATAAAATATTCTTCCGAACAATAATTTATAAATAAAAGAAATAATAAAAAGTTTTACTATACAAGAATTTTATTCCATTTATATACCATTCTATCGAAATCAGGACGTAAAATATTATTTATCCAATCGAAATGCTGAAGAAACTATAGTAAATAAAACATAAACATTTTCATAAAAAGTATTTTTATTATAATTAACTTTCAGCGTACCTCTTGCTATATTGGATTTCAGGGGTTGAAACTTATATGTAACTTTTTTAGAAAGTTCCATTGTAACAGTTTGTGTGAAATCGTTGAGAAAAACATTTTAAAAATAGGAGTTCCTGGGAACTTGTTAGTAATAAAGTTCTAGATCTATTTCAAAGTTTTACCTTTATTTATTTACTTAAAAAAAATAAAAGTGAGATATAAACAGTATATCGGGCTTGGATTAGAGTTATCATTTATATATGGCTAAGCGGTCGACTGATCAATTACAAGGATGATGCAAAAATTGTTAGGAATTTCAGTCAGAATTTTTTTTTTATTTTGAATTAGCCGACGTTTCGAGCCTGATATGTAAGTCTCGTCCTCTGAACTGTAGTTTGGAAGTTGAGACAAGAAATCTAGTTCTATAAGTAAAAGTTTTCTAAAAATAAAAGTTCTGTAAAATTTTTACTTAAAAAGTTGCAACAGAAAATGTTCTAGTACCGAAATAAAAGAAAAAAATATTGAAGGTAAAAATATTTCAGTCATACTGATTAAAGTTTCATTTCCAGCTCTGCTAATTTTTTTTTTTTTCCTCCATTCAGATATTGTCCAGAAAGGGAAGAGCCTAAACATTCATTAGTTGGCGGTGGAAGTTGATATAGTAGTGAATTTAATGGCCCTAAATTGTTACGAGCCGTTCATTGGATTATCTGATGGCCCATTTTTCAGAAAGAGCTAAGAACAGCTTTTAACTGTTGTGAGTAGTATTTGAGAAATTGTAGGTATCGAGGATGGTGGGGGGGGGACCCCTCCCCCTGCCGTATCGTCTCGGATAGCAATTTCCTGTCATTATTATTATTTTGATGGATGAGTTCTCTCTCATCTTTATTTTGCATTTCTGATTACCGTTCCAATTTCAAAACCGCTGTCGGTGGTGTTCGGCTTGGGTGTGTTGTTTTTGTTTCTCTCATTGACAGTGTTTTGGTAGAAATTAATAAATAAATGATAATTAATTAATATAGTATTTTAGTATTGTCTTTAAGATTATATTGACAAAATAAAGTGGGTGATTTATTTTTATTATGAACTTAATGTTAAAAAAAAAGAATTGATTTTTAGATTTTATATAGATAGTCCTGAAGGCTTTGTTTTACTTTAAAAAAAAATTATAAAAATGTTTTTTTGTATTTTGTTTCAAAAATGGATTTTTTAAAGTAGTATATTGCTATTTCCGGATCTTAGTCAAATGGTAGAATGGCGGTGTCATCAGGAAATGTTTCCAGAAAGGTATCAGAATGAACATGAATATCAGCGATTTATAAATAAATTTCACCTTTTAGGAAATTTTTAATTGAAAAGGTTTGGCCTAATAGGAATTTTATTTTATGTAGTGTTAATGAGAGATTAAAACTATTGTGTTGCGCATAAATTTCTAAAAATTTAAATTCAGTTACCTACTAAATAATTTTCCTTTTGAAAACGTTTCTTTCATTTCTTCTTATAATGCAATTTTTTCTACGATGTATACAGTATTTTTTGATAATTTTTATTTTATTGATATCAATATAAAACCAGAGAATTTGAGTTAAAAAAATAACTATATTCATCTTAGGAACTGAAATCTCATTGTTGAATTAACTTTAGCAAGATGATTAATTGTCCGGTAAAACGAATGATGAAATGTCTGGGTTGTTGATGAAAATATAAAATGTTGTGTGGCTAATCTTTATGTAAGGTAATTTTATTAATGCATTGGCAATTTCCTGAGCTCAACGCTGACTTTAGAGACTTATATTTAGATGTTTAAATGGCTATGTCAATTGAGCTGGTCCATTATTCGGTTATTCTCTTCGTCTTCCATTTTTTCTCATTTCTCTACAGCTTATAACATACCTTACAGGTTGAGCCGCTATCTGATTGAGACTTTTCTTAGAAGTGTCAGTCATGAATGATGGAACAGATTATTAATTTGAGGTCGTTTGATTAGGGAAGGAAATGGTTAAGATATCTCAAATTCTTTCTCTAGTATGGCCGATAGGGTTTGATGTGACGAAATTTGTTCCCTGAAAAGGTGATAGTTATGCTTAAAAAAAAAAATGTAATAATTATTTATGCCATGCTAAAATCCTTTGTCAGTTTCATTTGGATTGAACGACGTTGATACGGTGTACATTCCGTTTCGAGAAGACTATAGGACCCGTGATAGATTCATTTAACCCGTGTGACAGATAAGGGTGACGATACGGACATATATTGTATCGGCAGCGGTGTAAGTGGCTAATTCCCGCTAGACATGAGGGATCGCATTGAGCGAGCACCTGACTCTGTATAAATCTGTTGAGTTGCCTGTCATCCCGGGTCACAACTTGTTCGCTCCATCTCCGCTATCACCCTGTCAACCGTCACTCGTTTAAAAACAAAACAAAAACATTCTAGTTTGTTTGTATTATTATAATTTAATTCAAACAAATATATTAATTTCCTAGTATAGTTTTGATGGAGTTTTAAGTGCGTATTTGTAAATTTATATCATATTTTTCCACTTCATTAACACATTTCAGCGTATCCAAATGAACAAACACTACCTGAAACGATAAATATATCGTGATTTGTTGAAGTAGTTAATTATTTAATTTTTCAATTGTTACTTTATGGATTTTTGAAATAAACTGAGGATATATTCTTCTTTTTAATCTAGATGATCAAACAGTTGATTGTTATTATTATTTTTATGCTTCCAAACAGTATATTTGTTGAAAGAATTGTTTGTTGACGCCGTAATTACAAAAATTTCGATATTATACTTTAATTATGGTTTGTTGAAATTACTATATTTTTTTTTTATAAAGTTGTTTGCATATATATTTACTGTCAATTAATTTTTATTATGCATTCTTATTTTTCAATAATTTAAGTCTAAATACATTTTACTAGTTCAAATTTGTACCCCGGAGATAAACAACCAGTGTTGCCCAAAATAAGTCTTGGTCTTGCACTTTGGAAGACCAAGACTAAGACTGACAAAAAGAATCTTTTTTTGTAATAGAAATTAAGGCAATATAGTTACTAATACTTGACAATTTTAGTTACTATCTGTAAAGTTTGTATAACGAATCTACTTTTGCATTTAACTCTTCTATTTTTCATTGGTGCTTAGTTAGGTTTCTCCTTTCTAAAATATGGCATTAATATCTCTATAGTTATAAGCTAACAGACAACTGCAAGACCAAGACCAAGATCAAGAGTGAATGAGCAAGACCAAGACTTGGTCTCGCTTTTGAACAACACCATTTTTTCATTTGAAACCAACGGCCAATTTTTTATTTGTTCAGAGGAGCCAATTTTCCATGATTTTTGGCTGTTAAAATGTGTTCCTTAGTTATTAAACTATTTAATAAAAAAAAAAAAAAAAAAATGGTCCAGATGTCCTTCACCTTCGAGACACAGAAAATCAACGTTTTTTTTTTTTTTTTTTTTTTTTAAACATAAATCACTTGTTTTCAATAAACATTCTATTCCTTGTGGATTAAAAATCTAATTTATGTTCGGATCATTCATAAATTGGCAGAAATTGAGGCAAACTAGTTAATTCCATTGAGGACGTCAGAGGAACAATGCTATTCTGAGTCCAGTTGAGCGATGTAACGAGTTCGATTCCTACTTGGGTCATTTAATATTTATATCACATAAATAAATCTTGATACTCGCACTTTCCTTAGAATGTAGCTTTGGCAGTCAATCACAAGACAGTCGTCTTGGTTTGGCAAAGGCGTTTTTGCTTTTAATTTTGAATTCTCATAGCGCCATTTTTAAAAACGGTAAAAATCAATTCTTTGAGTTTTCAAGAAGCGAAAATAAGTAGTAATTCTACGACTTCATAACGATTCCCTGATAAATATTTTTTTATTTTTTTTTACAAATAACACAGGCTTGTTTATTTTACATCATATCGTTGGTTATCGGCAATGGACCCAAATCATTACGCCTTTGAAATTGTGTGTCAAGTGATTATGACACTAGCCGAAGCCAGTTGGATGGCATTAGTAATTATTGGCGGTTTAATTAAGGAACATAGGCGCCTATAAATAGATAGAGCCGACTGAACTCTGCGTGCGACCATCGGCTAAATAAAGACATGACTGATGGTCACTGTTATGCCAATTACGCTTCATAATCGAATTAATATTCGATACATATCGATTCCTTCGCCTCTCTTGCTCGCTACTAACTGTTTATTAATCTCCAATGATGTTTTGTCAAAATTAGCCTCTGAGGTGTGAGATATCGAGTAAATTATACATACGGGCTAATTAGGCCTATTAAGGGCGCGTAATGGGACAGCGAGTGGGAAAAGGTGAAGGACAATAAAATATTAATGGGGACGTTTAGCGTTGTATAAATTATGGAAGAGATGGGAAGCGGCGTGCTGCGCTCTGCGGCCGGACCTCTCTGATTGATATAGAGGGATCGCCCTTGTTGCCAATCCATCTTTCCGCCCTTTTTACAGATACCTCTGTGAACAAGACTATCTGTAATGTATCTGTCGTTC